CTTCTCCTATTTCACTCTACTCCAGCCACTCTGGCCACTTTGCTCTTCCTTGAAAATTCCATTCAAAGCTCCCTCTTAGCACCTTTGCACTGACTATTTCTTCTGTTCTTTCCCTTTGGCTAACTCCTTTCCTTCCATCCAGTCTTTCCTTACTCAAATATCAACTTCTGTGTCTTCATATTGTCTTCCCTTCACCTGTCCTGGCATCATGATCATTTCTACTCTGCCCTACCCCTTCACCCTCCCTGGCGTTTACCACCTTTTAACATACCGTATAATATATCAATTATTTCATCTCTTGTTTATTGTCCATCTTTCCTGCTAGAATGTAAGCTCTGTGAGGGGGCAGGAATTTTTGTTCTGTTCACCAGTGTATTATTACGGGCCCTTAGAACAGTGCCTGGCACATAGTAAGTTCTCAATAAATATTTGTCAACTTCATTGAATCACAGAATAAGTCAAAGGGACTATCATTAAGCACATCAAACTGGATGGTTCTATACTGAACAAGAGTACAATCCATAGAGGAGAGAGAGATTTGTTCTGGATATCTAATTCTGGTTTATAAACCACCCCAAAAGTTGTGGCTAAAACAATAATATATTATTGTCTTGTACATTTTTGGGCTGGTGGTCTCAGCTGGGAGGTTCTCGCTTGGAGTTCCTCATACGAACAGTCAGATGGTAGCTGAGGCTGGAGTCATCTGAGGACTCCTTCATTCACACAACTGATGCCTGGGCTGGGAGCTGGAAAGTTGGGCGCTGGTCAAGCATCTCCTTCTTCAACTGGCATCTCTACTTAGCTAGCTTGTGCTTCCTCACAGCATGGCAGTAGTCATTTCTTACACAGAGGCTGAATTCTCATAAAGCAAGTGTTTCAAGAGGCCCGGGTAGCAGCCGCAAGTCTTCTTGTACCTTTAGAACACTTGATGTGGTAATACTGAAGTGGCTAAATTCCTTGTCCTCCCCTTGTTTTAATCCTTACTATAATTTTTCAGCTAATACCTTCCTGTATGTAAGAAATATCTAGAGTTGTGTTAAGAGTTAACAGCTGAATGCATTGCTGAACTCTATGGCTCTGCAGTTTGCAAGACTGTCAGTTTTTGACCTTTCTATGTGAGTGAGAGACCAAGCTAAACCTCAGTCTGCCGGCATTTCCTGTATAGATGAGAGACGGAGTTGCTCTCTAGCCTGCATTGCAAAAAGCCCCTGACCACATCCCCCATCTCCATGAAACCCTCTACCCGAAGCCCCTTACCCACATTTAACTACCTGGTAAAGACCCCAATTTGTGTAACTCTGCCTGGATACAGACAGAGAGCCAATAGAAAAGCTTGCTTGCTTGCTCAGGAAAGGTATATAACTCCAG